CTGAACTCCAAACTAGCTGCAGGGCTGAAGCAGGGGGCCCCAGAGCCCACTCTGTCCAGCCCCCCAGGTAAATAGGTACCTCCCAGCAAAGCTTAGCCACAGCCCTATGGGAGACGACAGCCCGCACTGAGTCAGCCATGCCTTGGCATCCCTGCCCGGCAGCTGGCTCTGCCCTCCAAGTCCCTTCCCGGATGGCCCAGGATGGTGGGAGGAGGGTTCCGTGTGTCCCCACGGCCTGGGCCATGGCTCACCAGCACCCTGCGTTGTTCCCAGCTGGCCCCAAGGAGGCACAGGTGGCCCTGCTGGTGGCCACAGCCACTGACTGCCCCCAGGACAGCAGAGGCTGAGACCGACAGCACCAGCCACCATGGGGCCCCTGCAGGCCCGACGGTGCAGACAGGCCTCGGACGGAAGCTGCAGCAGCTCAGCCTGAGAAGCAGCTCCCGCCGGCCTCTTCCCGGCACAACCGGCCCTCCAGCTCACCTCAAACACTTCCTCATCCAGGATCCGGGTGCCAAACACAATGATGCCGTTGACGTCGATGACGGGGTGGTCGCTGCGGTCCAGGAACTTGGTGGTCTTCTTCTTACAGTCGAGGATCAGAGTGACGTTTTTCTTGTGCACACTGAGCGCGATTCTATGCCACCTGTGAAGGAGCACACGGCGGGCGCCGAGGGGCTTGGGCCACAGAACGCCAGCTCAAGGGGCTTCGCTGTGAGCTTGCAAGTCCCGCAGAGGCGGGGTGGCGGGCAGGGCAGTCCAAAGCCAACCTCTGCAGTCAGACAAGCTTGGGCGCCAATGCACTCATGCCACACGCAACAGGATGCACACTCAACCTCGCGACCCTCCGAGTTCTCATCTCAGGCCAGCGCAGTGGCCCGGACACCATAAACCCCTCGGGACACCTGAGGGGACCCTGAAAGGAGTGCCAAGCACAGACTCAGACACCTGGAGCAGGTGTGCACAGCAGCTGCCACAGCCATGGTCGAAGGGGGAGGAGGCAGTGGGCACGTTGGGCACCAGTGGGCTGCCAGTCCGCCTGTCACCTTAACCCCACTGAGACTGCAGACTAAGGGAAGACGGAGCTTTGGTGAAAAGTGGCAGAATCCATGGAACTCGGGAGGGACTCAGGAATCTCGTCCTGAACACCTTCAAAGACTGTCACACGAGGCCTCGGATGCGTGAGCCACCCTTCTGCTCCCCGTGTTGGGGGCGGCACCCAGCAGAGAACTCCGGGGACTGGCCTTTTTAAGTACAAATCCTCCACATCTTCCTGTCTGCACCTTCAGAGGAAACTTCATATGCTCTCTGCAGCCGCTTGGACGACACTTCCCCACCTCCTGCAGCCTCCAACACCAGGAGGCCAGCAATGGGCAAGGGACGCAGGTAGGGCATTCTGCAAGTGGGAAGTGGGGCCCAGGGGCGGGGGGGAGAGACTCCCCCAAGTCGCAGACCCAAGCATCAAAACGCCAGGCCCAGGGCTCTGTCCCCGTGCCACTGTCCCTACCTCCATAGACTCAGAACACACCCTGACACACAGCCTGGCCCAGCCAGCATGCCACGCGGCCGGCTCCTCCCTCCCAGAGGTGCCCACTTACTTGCCGTCCGACAGGTTGATGCCCCTGAAGAGGGGGTAGTCCTCGGGCCCAGGTTTGCCTGTGTGGTCCTCGTAGAGGAAGACTGGGGAGCGGCCCAGCTCCAAGCCCACCTGCTGGATGCCCTGCTCGTTGTAGATGGAGACCAGGAAGGCTTGGCTGCCCTTCTTGGCTTTCACAGTCGCGAGGATGGAGAAGTCCTCGGGGAACGCGGATGCTGAAATAGAGGACAGGGACGGGAGCTGCTGGGCTGCGGCCGTGTGCCACAAGCCGGCCCAGAGCCTGGCAACCTCTGCTGCAGGGGCCATGCACAGCCATCCCCACACACTGGCCCTGTGATCAGACTGCTCCTGCAGCCCTCCGGGACCACACGGCAAACCTGCCCGTTTCAAGGCTCAGTTCAAATGCGAACTCCTCCGTGGAACCTGCTGGTCCCTCCACTGGGAGCCCTCAACGCCCTCGTCTCAGTGTCTACACCTCAGTGGATCGGCACACAAGTTCTAATAAGAACCTCCCAGACGCTGCCCCGGCAGAGGTCACTCCTGACACATCTCTGCCCTCCACAGTGTCTAAGCTGAGAACAGCAGCTGGTGCCACGGGAGGGGGGACCACGGCTGGAATGTCACTTCTGACACCACCTGGGGACGTGCAAATGGAGAGAAAGTAGAAAGAAATCAAAGGACTTGGAGCCCAATTTCCAATGACAAAAGCCATCCCTGGCACATACGCTGGCAGGAGGAAGCGTCCTCCATGACACAGGCCAGCAACCCCCAGCTCATTGGGAGCCGCCCGGCCAGCAGAGTGCCCCAGGCCCGCGGCAAGCCCGGAGACCTCGGCCGCTTGCTCCATGGATCCGCACTGAAGGCCGCGAACCCTCGCTGCATGCGAGCTGCGCTTCTGCCACGCTCCTGGGTGATCCGCGCACTGTGGAGTCAGCCAGAAACGCTGGCCCAGGCCCACCTGCTTCTCAGAGCGCAGGAGCAGCGCCCAGCGAGGTCCTCACAGGCTCGCTGTCAGGAGCCACAAGGCAGCTTGCACTCAGTAAGCAGCAGAGGGCTGCCAGCTGGCCACGGGCAGGGAGAGGGCCGAGCCCACCCAGAGCAGGCCAACCTGATGGCCCCAAGGCCGGAGGCCGCTGGCCCACACACGGCAGCGCCGCCGAGACACGGCACGTGAGCGCCCCCTGCTGGTGGAACTGCAGTGTTGCAGGCAGCACCCCACACATCTGCAGTCACACTGCAGGGGCCATTCTGGGGACCTTCAAGGCCACCTGCCACAACAGGGCCCCGGGACTCAGGAGAGAGGAGGAGAAACCACCTTGCAGCCTTTGCAGGACATGACACAGAGTGTTCTCGAGGGTGAAGAGAGGGCCCGCAGGCCTTGGTCAAGCCACGGGCACAGAGCAGCTAGGGCACTGCGTGAGCCTCAGGCCGGGCACACGCTGCCTGGGGGCCTAGTCCTCGCCGAGGTGCCAGAGGGGTAAGGCCCAAGGCTGGGCAGGCAGAGCTGACTGCCATGGCCAACACCAGAACCCAGTTCTCCCGGGGGCTGGCCCAGCAGGGTCATGCAAGGGGACAGGTCCAAGTGGCAGGTGAGCACGCAGTCCCTGGGGAGAGGCAGACTTCAGGAGACGCTCAGGCAGCTTTTCCCTGTGGAGGAATCCCTGGGAGCCACCTCGCAGTTGCATGGTGAGGCGCCATCGACCTTGCTGTCCCTCACATGCTGGGCAGCCGGGGCCGGGGGGGTGGAGGGGAGGGCACAGCCTCTGCTGCTCTACCCAGGGGAGGACAGGGCCTGCCGGACGCCCACAGTGGAGACCGGCCAGAGAAGCCAGGGAGGGTCCTGGGGGCTCCATCTGGTCCCTGGCGAGGAGTGAGTACCGAGGGGCCTGGGCGGCTTTGACCTGAAGCACCTCAGAGGTGCTGCTCTCTCGTGCCCTAAACCCGGGGCACCCTTGCTCACCCTGCGAAGAGGCCGTCTGTACCTCCTGCCCCCGGCACCTCACACAGGGGCTGTGGGGTCTCTGGGGGAGGGGGTGGGCCTGCCCCTGGCACCCTGTACAGTAGGGTCACCTGCCTCCTGTCCCCACCCATAACGTGTATCCCTCACAGTCACCGTCATGTCCTAAAAACAGAAGAACGCGATGAGAGTGTGCAGCTCCAGCGTGATACACAGCTGGGGGCCGTGGCCTCCACTCGCGCAGCTCATTAAAATGCTGCTTCTCAGTTTTTAAAATCTCTATGGTAACAAATTTTCTCAGCTCAGACAAAACCTGGAAGAATAAATTACATTTAACATTAATCTCTCTCCTGGCAAAGTAACAATGGATTTTCTGTAGCTCGAGGACAGCCCATTCCAGTCCTGATGGACGGGGACATCGACGCCGGTCCACGGCACCGTCTGGTGGTCAGAGAAGTGGGCCCCCGAGCGCTTCATTCTTCATCTCCCAGAAGACACGTGGCGGTGGCCCAGCCAGACGTTCCATGGGCTCAGCCACGCCTCCCGGGGAGCCCAGGCACCGACAGGG